GATCCGGTTATTGTATTTTCATCATTATCATCACCATCTTCAATTTGATTGTTTTTGTTTTTCATTCCATCAATATCTTCATCACCATCATCGTTTGATGGTTCTTCAATGGTATTTTCATTTTCATCATTCAAAGTTTCTAAATTTTGATCATCTTGATCAGCGTTTTGATCATCATCCTGATCAGAAATTTCCATATTTTCATTTTCTATATCCATCTCTTGATCGCCATCACCATCATCATCCATATCGATTTGTACATCATCAGGCAAAATCATTTCATTGATATTTTCTATTTCATTTTGATTCTGTTTTGAATCATTATCATCTATATTTTGATAATCATCATTTATTTGTTTATCTTGATCATTGATATCATCATTATCTTCAGGTAGTTGACTATCCTCTTCTCCATTATTATTCTGTGATGTTAATTGATCATTATCACTATTGGCCACTTTATTTGTATCAAAATCTTCTTTTCCACCGGTCATTTGTTCTTCATTATCTTGACCATCTTTTTGTTGATCTTTTTCATCAACATCATCATCATCGTTATCCCATAATTTTTCATCTAAAACTTGTTCATCACTATCTACTTGACCCATTTGTTCTTCAAGATCTTCATCATTTTCATCATCAATTTCATCATTTTCATCCGATTTTTCATCATTTTGTTTTTCATCAGCACCATATTCATTACCAACAAAATCATCATCCATTTCAATACCATTATCTTCATTTTTNTTGGCAACTTTATTTGTATCAAAATCTTCTTTTCCACCGGTCATTTGTTCTTCATTTTCTTTACCATCTTTTTGCTGATCTTTTTCATCATTTTCATCAACGTCATCATCGTTATCCCATAATTTTTCATCTAAAACTTGTTCATCACTATCTACTTGACCCATTTGTTCTTCAAGATCTTCATCATTTTCATCATCAATTTCATCATTTTCATCCGATTTTTCATCATTTTGTTTTTCATCAGCACCATATTCATTACCAACAAAATCATCATCCATTTCAATACCATTATCTTCATTTTTCGAATCAGTTTGTTGATCTTCACCATCACCACCATCATCATTATTATTTTCCAAATCATCTAATTGATCTTGACAATCAAGACGATCAGAAACATCTTTAGCATCCGATGCAGTATTTCCATCACCAAATCCAGCATTATCGATATTTTTTTGTTGATCTTTTTGCTGTTGTTGTTGTTGTTCATCATTACCATTATCATCATCACATGATGGCAGACAAAATCCATTAGCCAATAATTCACCAGATAATGACATAAGAATATGTAATAATTTTGATGATGTTTTCAATGAAACAATCGACATACAAAGAAAACCTTTGTAAAGATCCATGTATTTCGTAAAAAATGGTACGAAAATTTTAATTATTTCAATCGATATTTGATTAAAATTATTACTGAAAAATTTATCAACCAATTGAATAATTTGTTCAGAATTGAATAGATTTAAAATTTTAACATTATTCATTGAATGTTTAATGAATTTTTCTTTATCTTCTTCAGTTTTGGCCGTATCATCATTATCAAGATATTTGAATATTTTTTCAAAACAAAAAAGAATATTTTTCAATAAAACATTACATTCAGCCAGCGATGATTTATCTGAATCGAGCAAAGTGTTGCTGTTTTTCCTTCGAATTTCATTGAAAAATTTTCCAAAATTTTCAATTTCATTTTCAAAAAATTGAAATTCATTTGTATATAATTTCATGAAATCGGGATATTTTTCCTTTAAAAATTTTGATAAATTTTCAATTTGTTGTTGCATTGACAAAACCGACGATTCCACAATTGTCAATCTGGATTCAGTAAAAATAATAACATCCAATAATGGTTCAATTTGTATCAATATTTGTTGAACATTTTCGACAATCAAATTAATTTCTTCAAAATTCTTTTCATCATTCATTTCGAATGATAAAAGTATTTCATTCAAACGTATTGTAAATGATTGAAATTTTAGTATAAAATTCTTAAATTTATGCAGCATTTCCAATACTGGTTTTAAATTGTCGGCAATAATACGATCTTCTTCAGTTGGATCATAACTTTTCTGTAATCGCATCAATTTTTGATTCAATTCATTAAATTGTTCCATACGTTTACCTATGAATTTTCGTTGTTTATCAACAATTTCGGTTAAATGAATAATATTTCCTTTTATACGATCAATCATATCCAAGGTTAATTGTTGATTAGGTTTTTCCAATAAACTAACGATCATTGTATAACCAGATAAACTTTTATAATAATAATCATTACATGATTCGATATTGCTACTAAGAAACGATATTGATTCAGCATCCAAATGTAATGATTTTTCCGAAAAAATTGTATCATTCAAATTGAAACCATTTTCAAATTGAAAAATTCCTTTACGAAATCGACAACCAAATTTAGATAATTTTCTAAATAAATCACTTAATGCTCTACGTTTTTGATTCTGTATTTGTGCAATTTGTTTTTTTCTTATTATCAAATCTTTTGTTTCGTTTGGTTTCAAATTTGAATATTGATCGATACTATCGATTAATTCGATATTAAAATATTCTAAATCATTGATTGTTTCGAAAAAATCTTTACTTTTAACACGTATCTTCCGATTGATTACCAAAAGTTTTTTATGATATGATTTTGATTTTGAAATGAATGGAAATTCTTGGCAATGATTTTCAACGAAATTCACTTCAGCAAAAGAATCTGATTCGATCATTTTGACCAAATCAATTTTCAATGATTTAAATCGTTCGATGGATGATAATTTTTTCTCAAAATAAAACAATTTAGATGCAGGATGAGAAAGATATTCTTCATATTTTCTAACATAACCATATAGTTGTTTTTTCGACCGTGACAACGATGCTTTTAATGACCAAAAATTATTTGGATTCCATTTGGAAATGGTAACAAATTCTTGAATTTCTTTTTCAATTTTTGCTTTTTCCTGGGAAATTTGTTTGAAAATTGTTAATGAAAAATGATTATAAAAATTATAAACATTTTCTAATGCAATCCAAATGGTTGTATTCAAATTTGAATGTTTAAGATAATAGATGAAAACTTTGATAATTTTCAATCGTATTTCATATTGACCAAATGTACTATTTTCAATAAATTTCTTAACAGTATTGATAAATTGTTTGAAATTTTCAAAATCTGATTCTGGTTTTTGTAGAAAATCATTGATTATTGTATAAAAACGAAACCACCAAATTGATAATTCTTTTTCATTAATTTTTTCCGAAACCATATCCAAACATTTAAGCCAATAATTGATTTCCATTTTTCTCCATTCAACCAGAATTTCGGTTATTTGATTTAAATATTCTACCAGACTGATTCCACGATGTGCAATCAATTGCCAATCTTCACTTGTTTTCAAAATCAATTCCAAACCAGTTGCTAAACACATTAACGAAGAATTTGCTTTAATTTCATAAACATGTTGAATAATTTCCAATAATTTTAATAAAACAGGATGATTTTCAAATTCAGGTAGTAAATCTTTTTCAATTTTCAAACGAAGATTATCTAAAACTGAAAAACATTTTTCTGTTTGTGATTCTATGCCCGATTGATAAATATTCAAAGTTTTCAATGTCGAATCATTTTTTGAATTTGAATTTTTCATCATCAACAATAAATGACCATCCAATAGATTTTGTTCAATATTTTCATTATTATCAAAAAATCCCATTGTTTTTTGCAAAATCGAAGCAATAATTTTATAACGAATCAAATATGATTGAACAAAATCAAACATTTGGTTGGTGATTGTTGTTGTTGGTTGTTGTTCCATTAAACCAATCATTTGCATATGTGAACGTGCAATAAAAAGTAATGTATTTTGATTTAAATCTGAAGAAGAAATATTCGAATTGGATTCGATTTTTCTTTTTTCAAATGGATCCAAAAATTTATCAAATTGATTTTCAAACGAAGGAAATAATTCCTCAACTTTTGCTTCAATATTTTCCTGGTTATTATCATTATCATAATCATCAAGTTTGATGTGGAATAGGGCATTTTTACGAATTTCATCCAAATCTTGTTTCATTTCAATTTTTTGAAATTGATTTACAAATGAATCAATAATCCGGAAAAATATAGCCAAAATTTCCAAACGATTATCTTCACGTAAATAAAGGGAATTTTGTATATCCAATGATATTGATTGAAATAAATTCTGAAACAATAAATTTGTTTTTAGATTTAAATCCTTATAGATTTTATGTAAAACTTGAATAATGTTATTCTGGAAAATAAATGAACATAGTTCTGATGGTAAAGTTGTTGTTACAAATTTGGAAAATCGATCAAACAACATTCGGATCATGGATGATTGAAATGAATGAAATAAAAATTTTGTATTCAAACGTGATTGTAAACGATAGATTAATGATTGCAGTCCTTTGATTACTAATAAAATTCCCGTTTCAAATGGTATAATTAAATCATGATAATCTTGATAGTTTTCATGTAAATATTTTAAAAAATCATTAATCGTTTGACAATACATTAAACATTTAGCAATGGTTTGTTGATTAGGATCCATGAAACAATCTTGTGAATCTTTTACAATTTGAAACAAATTTTTCCAATTAAATATTGTTTGTTTGAATTGTTTCAATTCACCAATAAGATTAAAATAACGTTCAAATGATTGTCGATAATGAATTGATTTTTGTAGTTTTTCAATTTGATTTTCAAATTCATTTAATTTTGTTTGTAATTTTTGAAATATTAAACAATTAAACGATTCATCATTATGTTCACAGTAAATTTGTTTATAAATTAAATGTCTTAATTTTAATTCTTCATCAATAATAGCCGATTGTTGATGGTAATCATTTAATTTTGTTTGTAATCTTATAATTGGATCAATAGGATAATCAGGATCAGTATGATTAGCAATTGTAAAACCAATCAATATTAATCGATAACATTCAACCAATTCCGATGGATTTGTTGTAATTTTCATTTTTTCATTTTGAATAAAATCAGCCATAACGATTGAATGTTGTCGAATATATTCATCAAACATTTCAGCTAAACAAACAAAACGATTAAAAAGTTGATGTTGGTTGGTTTTAATCGAAAAATAATTTTTATAAATAAAATTTATAAAAAATTTTCTTGTAAATTTTTTTCGATAAAATTTTTCAATAGAATCATTATCATTATTCATTTGTTGAGAATATATTATCGATATTAATGGAATATGTTCACATGTTAGATTTTGTCGGATTTTATCGCTGATTATAAATTTATTTGCTTCAACTTGAACATTTTCATTTGCACACGATGATTGAATGATTGTGGAAAGATTCAATTCACGATTTATATTGAATAAAATTTCAACAAATAAATCAGTATATTTATGACCATTTCGAATGAAATGATTGAAAAATATTTCATATGGATCATTGTTGAAATTAATCATTTGGTCATCTGAATTGATGGATTCATTATTCATATAAAAATCAAGATAACTTTTTGATGAAAATAATTTCGATAATGTTAAACATTGTTTATTTACCAATGTTGCTGCTCTATTTGATTCATGATTCATGTCATTCGTTTGTTGTAATTTTTCACTGAAACTTTCATATGAAATTTTTTCATTAAAATAATCATCCAATAGTGCGACAGAATCGGTAACTTTTTCCGAATTTTGTTGCTGCTGTTGTGGATTATGTTGTAAAATTTTTAAATATTTTTGAAATTGTTGATATGCATGTAAATCTTTGGATGATTTAAAACAAAAACAATTATTACACATTTTGCTGACAAATTTGAATTTTTCTTCATTAAATAATGAAATATTAAAATATTGATTGATTTCATTGACAGTAGAATCATTACAAAAATCGATAAAATTATTGAAAATTTGCTTTTCATTCAACAGAAACCAGATTGGAAAAAATTTTTCATAAATAAATTTTTCACTTTGTTGATTTTGTATGAAAATTTGATAAAAAATAATTAATGTTTCACGAATGGATAAAATTTCATCATCAGTTGGTCGACATTCGTTGATCAAATGATTTAATCGCTCGAAAATTGTAGTCAGGAATTTTTTGATTAAAATCAAAATCTTTGTCTGATTAATTTGATCTTCATTCTCGAATGAATTTGATTGAAAACGTTGTTGAATATCTAACCAGAATAAATTTATATGAAAATTATTCAGATATCCATTCCATTTTGAAAATTTTTCTCCGTTATTTTCAAATATTTTCGAAACCAATGCCAACATTGTATTATTTTCACGAAAATCAATGGGCAGTTTTTTGATCAAATCAAATCGATCATCATGATGATTGAAAAATTGTTCTGAATCCTTGGAAATTTGAACAAGTTTTTCGCTAATCATTTTAACATAATCATCATTTGATTTGGAAAATATACGAAAACGAATATTGAAATCAGCTAATGATGAATTTTCAAAAAATAATCTTATTTTCAATGAATCTGAATAATTGGCTGTTGAATCATCGTTGAATAATAATCGATAATTTTCAATAGCATAATAAAGATTTGAATCATTTGATAGATGATTGAATTTTGGTAGTGAAGAAATTTGATTGATTGAAGAAGTAAAATTTGTTTCAACGTTCTGTTGATTTGTTGAACCAATTTGTTGATTTTTTAAAATTTTCTGTTCAATTGATTGAAAAAATTGTCGTCGATTCATTTGTTCAATTTCCTGTTGATCCGGAATTCCATATTCTTGAAGAATTTTTCGATATTCTTCCATTGATGAATTCAATTGATCTTCATTTTCATTCAACATTACAATTTCAATTCCTCTATTACGCATAGCACGTGATAATTCACCATACTTTGGATTCATTGTAAAAAATAAACGAAAATTTTGATGTGGTCGAATTTCAGTGATTCGACCATCAATCGAACCTTTTTCATTTATAGTTAAACATCCATCAGGTTCTAGCAGGCTATTGAAACGATCCAAAACAGCCGGATTTAAAAGATTAGCATTTTCAATAACAATCCATTCACCATTTTGTATTGATTTTACAAGCGATGAATCTCTCCATTCAAATGTACCATTATCCTGATTATGATTTTCAATGATTTTTGTTTCCAATTTTTCTAATCGATTTCGAAATTCTGATGAAATCTGTGGATCTTCAAATAAATTTAAAATTTTTTTCATTGTTTTCAATTTAAATTTCGACAAATTATTGGTTGAAAGACGATAAATGTAAGACCAAAATTTCGACCATAATTGATGATTTTGTTTAACAATTTCACCGAATCCATACCGAACAATTTCATTTTCTAAATTTTTAATATCAACATTGAAATCTTTTTGTTCAAAACCACCAAGTAAATCAATAGTATCCATTTCAGAATTAGCATGAATAATATTTAATTGTTGACCACAAATATTGGCAATCAATTGAATCAGATGACTTTTCCCAATGCCTGAATCACCAATCAATATTGATAACCAATTCATTTCAATACAAATTAATATTGATTCAATAATTGAAAATTGTTGATGAAAACAATAATGTATGTTACGATTATCAATATTGTTAACTAATCTTGATGAAATGATTGATCCCATTTGAAATAATGAATTATTTAGATAAGTCATTGTCGGTGTTGTTTGTTGACATTTGAAGTTTACAAATTCTTCCTGACAAATTTGTTGAATTTTTTGCTTACATTCAATGGTTCGCATTTTATTTGTATAAATTTGATTGAAAAATAATTCCGGTTCAATATTGGAATATTTTCCCTGGAATTTATCGAACAATTGTATCCAACGAATCAAATCACGAAGATTAAATTCAAATGGTGAACCTTTTTTTGAAAAATTTTGAATTTGTTCACAAATTTTACGATTAACCGAAATCATTCGTTGAATAATGTTTGTTGAAATTTTTGGAAACATATTTATCAATATAAAATAATAATCATTATCGGTTAAATCTTCAATATAAACAATAGTGAAACGATTTAAAAATGATTTTGGTAAACGTTTACGACTTCTATCCATTGAATATGGATTTTGTGTTGCAAAAATTCTTGTCTGTTTTTTATTCACTGAAAATGTTTTATTTAATTCGGATATAAATATTTCACTACGATGATCAAGACAAGCATTCAAACCTTCTAAAACAGTTTGTGTTGCAAGATTAAGTTCATCCAATAATATCCATGTTGATTTTTGACTTTTTAATGCCGTTAAAAATGGACCATCACGAAATTCAAATTTTCCGGCATTTCCTTCACCTTCAACAGGTAGATCACAACCAAACAAATCACTAATATCAGTTTGATCGGATAAATTTATCCGAATTAATGAATCACAACAAATTGATGATAAAGCTTGTATTAATGATGTTTTCCCTACACCTGGTGATCCTTCCAACAGAATCGGTTTATCCAATTGTAATGCACGCATTAATCGTATACAATTATTATGGACGCCATTACTTTGCCAATAATAATTTTCAGGTGAATTTTGTTGATTCAATTTTGGCAATGAAAATGGTCCGATTGATATTTGATTTTCATTCGAAAATGATGAATTATTCTCACTTTCTGAAAGGATATTTCGAAATTTTTCACATAAATTTTCCAAATACTTTTGACATTTCATTTTAATTTCATCAATTTTATTGGCCAATAATGATTGATTACCAATTATAAATGGATCAATATAAACCAGGTAAGCACCATGTATAAATGAATCATATAGGCTAAGTTTTTGTGGTTTGATTGAATAAGTTTTATCAATAAATTTTGTCCAACTTAATATATCACGAACACTAATTATAAAATGTTTTTGTACTATTTGTTGTTCAAACCATTGAATAAAATTACGAATCCCATAGGATATTTGTTGTTTAATTTCATCATCAATAATTTCAAGATTATGAAATGCAATCTGATAAATATCATCCATATTTTCAAAACCAGGACACCAAATTTCAGTAAAACGATCACGTAAAGCAGGTGATAATTCTTTTTTACCAAAATCACCACCCGGATTCATTGTTGCAAAATAACGAAATGTTTCGTTTGCTTTTATACGACCAAACGAATCATTATTTTCAGCTAAAAATATTGTTCTTTCTAATTCTAAAACTGAATTTAAACGTTCTAAAACTGAATCATCGGCTAATGATATTTCATCGACAAGAAAATAATCACCATTTTTCATAGCCATCACTAATGGACCATCAATCCATTCGAAAAGCATTTCATTTTGTTCAATGCAAGCATTACGATTTGGTCTTAAACTACCAAGAAAATCTGAACTTTCCGTATTCATATGACAATTGATTATTTTCAATGTTTTTTGATTGATTGATGAAAAATATTGACAAATAGTTGTTTTACCACAACCAGTTTCACCAACCAAAAGAATTGGTTCTTCAAATTCGATAGCTTCTTTAATTAATGTACCAAGTCTTTTGAAAGCATTTGTCCATACCAAAGTATTTGAGAAAATATCTGTTTTTGATTCAAATTTTTTTTCATTTGAATAAAATAATTCTTCCTGTGATATTTTACATTTGAAAATTTTTTCAAGAATTTCTTCAATCAAAATTACATCATCTTTTTGACGTACTCTTCCAGCCAGTAGCATAAAACCTTGATTGGCAAGAAATTGATTCCAATCAAAAAAACGAATTTTTTCATCTAATTTTGCAGCAAATTTCATATAACGATATCCCCACCTGAACAGATCACGTAATGTAATAAAACCATGTTTACCAGCAAATATATCCGATTTACAACGACATTTTTGTAGCTGTGTCAGTACTGAAACCATTCGTTTTGAATATGATAATGGAATCATACATTTTTTATGTAAAATAATTTCCAATTCTTCAATAGGAATTTCATTAAAATTTAATTCAATAAAACGATTACGAAATGCACGTGATAATACTTTTCGACCGGCATATTTCCCGGGAGGATTTTGTGTTGCAAACAAAAGAAAACGTGAATGTGCTTTAATTAATTCCTGTGTTTCCGCAATGAAACATTCCCGATTTTCATCTAAAACACGATTTAATGCTTCTAAAACTTCAGTTGGTGCTAGATTTAATTCATCCAAAATAATCCAATGTCCATTTTTCATTGCTTCAATCAATATACCATTTTTGAATATAATTTTTCCATTCGTTTGTGAACAATAACTACCAATATATTCTTGAAGATCAGTATGTTCATGATTATTAACACGATGACAAATATTACCGGTTGCTTGTGCTAACCATTGTATAAGACTTGTTTTACCAACAGATGTTTCACCTTGTAACAATATTGGATATGTACGTCCAGCCGAAATAATTCGACAAACATCACGAAGATTTTTCGATACAGTTGCCGTTAGGATATAATTATCATCTATAAATGGTTCATTTGGACCTTTAATTATTGGATAATTTTCAATAATGACAAAATTTTTTAATGGAAATAATTTTTCCATATTTTTCATTGATTCCGAAAATTTCAAGTTTTTATTATGAAAAATAATCCTTTCAATCATTTTCTGTACAATCAAATATGATTGTTGATCAAGATTTGAAAGAAATGCTAATGAAAATGCTTCATAAATTGAACGATTTATCGATTGAAATGGATTATATTTTATAACCTGTAATGCACGACAAAGATTACGAAGACTAAATATTGGACGATGACCATTCATATCTTTCAGCAATGTTTTTGAATCATATTTTAATTGAAAATAAAATTCAACAATTGATTCAATGGTTTTTGGATCGACCATACTTTGTATATATGTACAAACAATTATACGTAATTGTGAACGATCATCACATTCATCGATAAAAAATTCAGTAAATCTATTACGAATTTTAATTGGTAATTCTTTTTTACCGACATCTGTTGCCGGATTCATACAAGCAAAAAGACGAAAATTTTTATGAACTTTAATCATTTGATTAGTTGATTTTTCAAATAACATTAATGTTTGATCATTTTCTAAAAACGATAGTAAACCTTGAAGTGTTTCATTTTCAGCCAAATTTATTTCATCCAATAAAATCCATTCACCATTATTGATTGCATTGGTTAAAATACCATCAATAAATGTAAATGTTAATTGATTTTTTTTTCCATTTTCCATTATTGATTTAAGTTTTTTTAATTTTTCCTGTACTTTTGTCCATTTCTCGAATAATAATTCTTTACGATTTTCTTTTTCAATTTTATCAAATGCTTTCATACAAACATTTATCATTATTTCAATAATAAGATTCCAATTTTGTTTAAAATAAAGTTTATCAAATTTTTCTTTAAAAGCAGAATTTTTTTTCGTTTCAAATGTTTGATCAAATAATTTACAATATTCTTCTTTAATTGAAATAATCATACTATTAAAATCAACTGGTTTATATCCACCAAACAATTCTAAACTACTACTTTGTTGATTCATATTAATAATGTTTAATCGATGTCCACAAATATTTGATAAATATTGTATAGTTGATGTTTTTCCAACACCAGTTTCACCACATAATAAAATTGGTTCTTGATTCGAAACACCAGCCAATAAACGTTCTAATAATTGTGTAGTGTTTAATGTGAATGCAAAATCAGAAATATTTTGTGAAAATTTTGAATCAATTTCAATTGATTGACGACCAATGGTTATTTGATTTATATTTTTAATTATTTTTGGATTACGTTGTTGAATTAAATGTTCACAATCATTTTTCGATAAATTAAAACATGAACCAATTGTATAGGCAATCTGTTGTTTCAAACGATTCGAAGTAAACATTGTAAAACAATCCATAGCATCAAGATAGGCAAATTTTGATATTTCTTCGGATTGAATTTTCATAAAATATTTTGACAAACGATTACACCATTTTAATAAATCACGAACCCATATTAAACGTTTTGGTTTTGTTTCTGATTGAAAATTCATTAAATTTTCATAAACTTCTAAAATTCTTGGTAATAAAATATTTAAATTTGGCCATTTTTTCTGTATCAGATCGGTAATTTGATTTTTTGTAAAATTTTCCAAACAAACTTTATAGCAAATTTTTTCCAACATTGTAAAATTAACACTTTGAATTGAATCAGATTTTTGTAGAGTTTTTGTAAAAAATATTCGAAAATTATTATTAAATCTATCGATTTTATCTTCATAACCAATAATATTTCCATTGTTTCGTGATTCAATAATTGAAACTAATGATGAAATTAATTCTGATGATGCTGAATCAATATCTTCAAATATAATCCAATTACCATCACGTATGGCTTTTAGCAGAGGACCAAAATTAAAAACAAATTCACCAGGAATTTCTGATGTAATATAAGAACCGAGTAAATATTTTGTATCGATTTGATCACTAATTTGTATGGACATTATATCAGGTGGTTCTAAACGACCAGTCAATAATGCTAAATATTTGATTAATGTTGATTTACCCGAACTCATTGGTCCTTCAATCAATATTGGTTTATTCAATGATACTCCCAATGCAATGGACATTAAATATTGATGGAAAATCACAGAAGATACAGGATATTTTTCATTATTTTCAAAGTTGATTGATGTTCGTTGCATAACTTGTAACAAAATTCCTTGAACACAAACAATATTTTCGGATAAATCATGATCACATATTAAAAAATCATTAGTATCACGATATTCGATGGTTTTAGAAGAAAATCGAAGTGAACGAACTTTGGTTAATTCATATAATTTTAAACGATAATCATCCTGATTATCATCATTATGTTCAAAAGAATTTAAATTCAAAATTCTAGAATGAATTCTTTTAGCTAGATACTTAACATATTGATTTGAATGATTGAAAAAATTGCTAACAAAAGACCATTGGAAATTTTTGAAAAAATAATTCGAATCAAATGTTAAGAATATCAAACAAGATTCAAAAAATTCAATCAACAAATCATCATTGTCATTGTTGTTTTTATCTTGTTCACGAATTTCACATAATAAATTATCAACATTAAATAGATGATTATTAAAACAATCGTAGGAAAAATTTGTTACAATTACAAACGAACCAATCAATCGACTTAATATAAAAAATAATGATAATTTTGAATGATTTTGAATACGATGTAATAATTCCAATAGAATCGGGGAGAATAATTCAGCTACATTATTGGTCATACATTTGGTTGTTAAACATTCACGAATAAGTTTGATGATTTCAATTCGATCATCGACTGACCATTTTCGTTTAGTAAACGAAAAACAATATTTATAAAGTTTTTGAACATTTTTATCGTCGGGATTTGTTTGATATAACAGATTGACACAATCATGAATCCAAAAACCACCCATTTTGCCAAAAAAAAATCACTGAAAATCACCAAAACAAGAATAAAAATAACAACGATGTTGTGATTAAATAACCAACACGAATCACAATTTCAATGCCTGAAACATGCATGCATGGAAAATTCTCTTGGCACGCACGTGTATTCTTGTGTTTATATTCAATTCATACGTTGTAAGTACATTTTTTATTTAAAACAAAAAAAAATTTTCGCCAAAAATTTTCAAATAAATTAAACAAAAATTTTAACAGAAAGAAAATTAAATTAAAATGAATACATCATAGTAGAAAGGACAACCAATGAAGCACCAATTAAAAAATTTAATGATGGTGAAAAATCATTGAAAATAAAATGGCTACATAATGATGATAATATTATCGATATGGTTGTAGCAAATCCTTTTAATATATTATCAGCATATTTCATTACTAATGAAACACAAATTCCACCAAATGCTTGTAGTCCAATTACCATAAAGGTTAATGAATTATAGCCCTTCATTGATTGATTTAAAATGATTAAACCATTAATAAATGAATAACAATAATACTTACATAGAAAAATCCTTTTATATTCATTTCATCCAAATCATTCAAAATGATTGTGAATGATGAAAACATACAGCTTAATAATGCTAATTGTAAATTTCTAATCCATAATGATTGTGCTTTTGAAATTTTGATTAATTTTTCAAAATAAACACCCGAAAATCCACTTGATAATGATGATATAATTATAGCAAATAAACCAATTAATCTATTTTCGTTCATTTGAATAGATGATGATGATCGTTGTCGATTATCATTGGGCCATTGTACAAAAATAACACCAAACATTAATAGAAAAAGTGAAAACCATTGACGACTGGAAAGATCTTTATGCAATATTAAACGTGAGAATAATGCCGTTGTAATGATTTTAAATTGATAAGTGACCTTAGTAGACAAAAAAAATTTCGATTTTAAAAATCCATTGGAAAAAAACAAGTCAATAATATTTACTTGATAGGTAGCTGCATCCAAATTGGTTAAAGCAAGAAATAAAAGATTATTCTGTACAGTGTATAGAAATGCTGGTACTAAAATCTTTGAGAATTCTTTTGGTTTACCAAATATTTCATCTTTCAATATATAATATAAGCCGCCAATAGATTCTGATGGAAATTTTTTTAAATTTTAGTAGGAAAATTTCAATTCAATTTAAAAAAAAAATACCTGAATAAATTATCACAACTATACAGATGAAAAATTTAACAAATTCGGATAATAAAACAGCTGTACTATTGATATAAGCTTCATTTGGACTAGATGTTTTCCTTGAATATCTTAATGTTAAAACCAATACAGTTGTTTGTAATGTAATCAATATTAATGTACCATATTTCATAAATAATGTTTTATTTAGATTCATATTTTAGAATTTTTAATTTTTTTTTTGTAAAAAAAATTAAGAAAATTTTTATTTACAAAAAATCATAACTGAATCTTGGTCATTGTTCGAATGAGTGTGCTGTGTTTATTTCGACATAACTTTTCCATATGATGCTGATGTAGCCGGCATTCGCTGAAATGCTGTATCATTTGCAGATGGCGCTTTATATCGGTTATTGTGTTTGTTCATTTTGCCAAGTCGTGTTATTTTATCCAAAAAAAAAAAATTTTTTTTTTAAATCGAAAATTCTCAATTTTTCTAAATTTTTGAGAAAAAAGAAAAAGAAGAAAATCTCATCTTAAACATGTCAACTTTTAATGGTATTTAATAATCTTTAATAATCTCTTTTTTTCTGCAGGAATTTCGATGTGAATTTCTTAATTTTTGTTTTTTGAAATTTTTTTCTAGTCAAAATTAAATGGAACAAAGAAACATATGATCTGGAACTTGATACAAATGAATCACCATCAGTATTTAAGGCACAGATTTTTGCCTTAACCGGTGTTAGTACTGATCGACAAAAAGTTATGTTCAAAGGTAGTGTCATTAAAGAAGATGAATGGAATTCAACAATGTTGAAATCGATTAAAAATGTAAGTAATTTTGTCATTTTTTTAAAAATTTCTTTCGATTAAAAAAATATCCCAAATTTTAAATATCAGGGTGCAACATTTTTAATGATGGGATCTGCTGGTGAATTACCCACTGAACCACAAGAAAAAGCTGTTTTTGTTGAAGATATGACTGAAAAAGAATTAGCTGATGCTTTTGATCAACCATCGGGTTTGATAAATTTAGGCAATACTTGTTATCTAAATGCTACAATACAATCATTATCAACAGTTCCTGAATTGAGAGAAAGTTTAAAAAAGTATTATCATTATCATTTTATTCATAAATATTATCGTTTATTTTCATCATCATCATAATCATTATATTTTTTTTGTCATTGTTCAAACGTGATTTATATAGGTACAAAGGATCATTAACCTTGAATGAATCTTTTGATGGTGCTCATGATATTGTTGTATCATTACGTGATGTATACAATAAAATGGATACATCATCAACAGTAATGCCGGTATTGTTACTTGAAATGTTGCATATGATGTTTCCACAATTTTCGGAGAAAACCGAAAATGGCCAATTTGCTCAACAAGATGCCAATGAATGTTGGAGTGAATTGATAAAAGTTTTGCAACAAAAACTTAAAATTGAAACGATTGAAGGGACAACAAATTCGAAAAATTTTATTACACAATATTTCGGTGGAACATTACAATCGACAATGAAATGTATTGAAGATGAATCGGAAGAACCGGCTATTTCGAATGAAAATTTTTTACAATTAAGTTGTTTCATTTCACAAGGTAGGATATTTTTTGAATTTTCAATCTTTTCGGTGATTTCTAATTTCATATGATTTTTTTAAAGATGTTAAATATCTTCAAACTGGTCTACGATTACGATTGGAAGAAGAAATTAATAAATTTTCAACCAAATTAAATCGTGATGCACATTATATGAAAACAAGTAAAATTTCACGTTTACCAGCATATTTATCAATTAATTTGATAAGATTTTTTTATAAAGAAAAAAATTCTGTTAATGCTAAAATTTTGAAAGATGTTAAATTTTCATTAACATTAGATTTGTATGAATTATGTACACCTGAATTACAGAAACGATTAGTACCAATGCGACAAAAATTTAAAGATTATGAAGATCAACAATTGGAAAAAATTCAACAACAAAAATTAACAAAAAACGATGATAAATTGAATGTTGAAAAGAAAAAAGAATATTATAATTATTCATTTGAAGATGATCCTGGTTCAAATAATACTGGTCTATATCAATTGTATGCTGTACTTACACATAAAGGCCGTTCAAGTTCAAGTGGACATTATGTTGGTTGGATTAAACATAAAGGTAATGATAATTCTTAATCTTAATTTTATTTTCAATTATCATTATTATTCCCCAAAATAGATAAATGGTTTAAATGTGATGATGAACAAGTTTATCAGGTAACCGAAGAAGAAATATTAAAATTATCTGGTGGTGGTGATTGGCATTGTGCTTATGTTTTATTGTATGGACCACAATTGGTAGAAAAATGTGAAAATTTACCATCGACTATTGGCCAATAATCCAAAAACCAAAAACAAAACAAATTTTTTTGTTTCCTAAATTATCAATGCTAAAAGATGATTTTAAGAAAATTGAAAATTTTTCCAATAAAATTTTTTTATTCGTTTCGATTGATATGTTGAGGTGTGTATTTGGTAACAAGAAAAAGAGAAAATGAAATAATTTACAGAAGTTTTTTAAAATCTAAATACAGTTTTAAGTTAATAAAATCAAAATTTACAAAAGGATTGAGCTAAATTGTTGTTGTGTGTGTGTATGTAGATCACAGATTTTTAGTTGTATTATTATTAATGTTATTATAATGTTGTTGTTGCTGTGATGGTGGCAACGGTGGCAATGGTGATGTTGGATGATGATTGTGATGTTGACCTTTTTGAATTATTGCTGGTAATGGTCGATTGACCACTATATTTTGACTAACTGGTACATGAATAATGTTGGCATCATTTTGTGTCATAGGTAGATTTGCATATAATGGCTGTGTTTTCATCATTAATGATCCACCACCACCACTACTACCATTACCATTGTTTGGTGCTGAAAAAGTGACCAGATTTGAATTGTTTGTACGAAAATTATTCGTTGCATTCATAACAGCCATATCTGAATCTAAACAAATCCTTGAATAGGTCATTGGTTGTGAAATATTATCTTTATTTATTGTAGCAGCATGATGCAAGTGATGATGATTTACTTCAATATTTTCACCACTTTTGATTGGTTTTTGTTTCTTTCTGCGAATAATAATAAAAATGATGATTTGATAAAGAAAAATTGTTTCAAAAAATTATACAAACATTTTGACAAATAAAAATCCAATGATAATCATCAAAATAAGAATGGTGCCTATGCCAAACGAAACGCCAATCCCAATCGATTTGGATGATTCAACACTTTCATAATCGGATTCACCATCAATATTATTTGCTCGTAAACTATCTTCAATTTCATTTGCATCTTGTGTTTCTAAACATCTTGGAATGATGCCACTCCTTGAATCGAATAGGAGAAAAGAAAATGCATTAAAATCATTTTTACATTTCATAATTTTTTTTTAAATTTATTGCTACCATTCTCCATTTGCCTGACAAAATCTATGCTGTGAATCACTGATCATTTTAAAATCAGGCAAACAATGATATTCAACAATACTGCCATAAAATGTTGTTCCATTTACAAGATATCCTCTACCGTTTGGAATAACCGGTGGTCTGCCACAATCAACATCTGTCCAACGTGGAAAAATTATTATAAATCGGAAAAAATTGGAAAATTTATCATTTTTTAAATTTTCACACGATAAAACTTACATCGACAATAAGGAATCTGTCCACTCCATTGTCCATTTGTTTGACATGTTCGTTCATTATTACCAATCAATTCAAGACCATTTATACATGAATAAATAGCTTTACTGCCTACTTGATGATTTGATACCTGTATCATTGTTTTTTCATCTTTTGTTTCAGGTGCTTTACAGGTGACAACTTGATAAATAAAAAAAATTCAAATTAAACTTTAAAACAATCAAAAACAAACAAAAAATAAATATTACGTTCACAAACAGGCGGCACACTACTCCATGTACCATTTTCCAAACAGATTCGTCGTCTTGGTCCATTTAGTTTAAAATTTGAATTACATTCATATTCAACAGTACTACCATAATAAGTTGTATTGACAGTGAGTAACCATTTTCCATTTGAAAGTGGAAATGGTAATCCACAATCAATATCTGTATATTTTCCAAATCAATTGTTGATCGATGTGATATTGATCGTATTGACAGGCGATCAGACAGACAGACAGGGAAAATTATTTTTTTAATATAAAAAAACAGAAAATGATTATAGAAAGAGAGAAAAAAATGAACAAACTTACAAACACAAATAGGTGGTGCATCATTCCATAATCCAGTTGTTTCACAAGTACGTAATGATTGTCCTTGTACAATATGACCAAGTGAACAACGATATTGTACGGTTGAACCAACTTTAAATGAATCACTATATGAACGATCATTACCATTATAAACTACTGATGAATTTTTTGGTATTTCAGGTGGTGAACATCGTATTTCTATTTGAATCAACAACAAAATTATGAACTAAATCTATCATTCAATAATATTTTATTTTACCTTCACATTTAGCTTTATTGCCTGACCATTTTCCATTTTCTTGACAAACTCTTGCTTGATCGCCAACTAATCTATATCCAGTACCGCATGAATAATTTATAATACTTCCTAAATGCGTGGTTAAATTTACGTAAATAATTTCTCCTTTCCATATTGGCTGTACACGACCACATTCAACATCTACATGATAATTATTATTATTTGAGAATGGCAAAATAAATTAACGAGAAAGTTCATCAGGAAAAACATTAATGATATTTACACACACTTACATTTACAAACAATATCATCACCACTCCAATGTCCATTTTCTAAACATTTTCGTTTAGGATTTCCTTCAACAAGTTGATAACCAGATTCACATTCAAAAATTAATTCCGAATCAACTGTAAATTTGGTTCCGGTAAATTTTATACCCGATAATTTTTTCGGCATACCACAATTTACCACTAAGAGATTTTTTAAATCAAAATCATCATTCCAAAAATCAAATTCAAATTCAAAAATAAACTTACTTTCACATGATGGTTCTAAACCACTCCATAAACCTAATTCGGTACAAGTTCTGGTTCGATTACCGACAAGTAAATAATTTCGATCACATTCATAGATAATGTTACTACCATAATATGTTGTTTTATTTAGCAATTTATAATAACCATTATTCACTTCTAATGGTAAACGACAATCGATAACTAATCGATTGATAATTAATAAGCAAAACAACAATGAAAAAAATGAATGAAAATCCTATTTCGATCTGACAAAAAAAAACAAAATCGTGACTTACATTTACATTGAGGAACATTATTTGACCAACTACCACCAATTTGACATGATAATTGTGATTGACCAAAAAGTACAAAACCCGAATGACATGAATATGTAGCAATACCGTTTATTGTACGATTTGTTACATGTACCAAGCCATTATCAATTTCAGATGGTTGTGTACATAAACTATACATACATTTTGGTTCTTGATCACTCCAAGAACCATTTCCTAAACAATATCTTGTTTCCGTTCCAACTAATGCATAATCACGTATACAAGAATAAGTAGCAGATGCATTAAAATCTGTACGTAAATAATTAACATGACCTTTTGAAATTGTTTGTAATGGACCACAATCAACATAAACACAAGTTGGAGCATCACCTTGCCAAAATCCATTACTTTGACAGAAACGTTTCTGTAATCCATCCAGACGACAACCTTGTGCACATTGATATGTAATAATATTTCCAATACGAAAATCATTTTTAATGATTGTTGAATTTTCATTGATATCAGGATTACCACAATTTGATGGTGAATATTGACAAATCCAAGGTAAATAATCAAGGTCTAATTCAATCAAATAACAATTATCATCAAATTTGCATCATTATCTTTTCCATTTTTTGATGAATGGATCATCAAAAAAAAGTAAACAAACAGAAAATTGAATCTTACCACAAGTAACATCATTCCAAAGCCATTTTCTTCCCCCATCAAGTACAATACAATTTTGTTGTCCATTATAATTGTTTGGTTGATCTTCAGCCCAAAGAAATTTATTAATCGATTGTCCATTAATCCAATGCCAAAATAATCTTGGCCGTGTACCAAATAATGATGTAATATTTTGTGCATAATGATCTCTACGTGCACCAACCCATACTAATTTCGAACGTAATTTTATCTTATAACGTTCAAGTTCATAAAAAAGAAAATTCTGTGTCATATCAGTGATTGAATGAATTAAAAGTCCACCACGTGATTTACAATACATATCAGCATCAACAAATGATCCACCACGTTGTGTTTGAAATTCATAACAAGTTTGATTAAAACTTGTTATCTGTTGATATTCCATTGCATCACCACAACGATTTGATGAAAATTCTTTTGTTGTAAAAACAAAAACTTCACATAATGATAATGAACTTTCAATTCCAACCATTTGAATATAAACATAACGGCCAATAATTGCATTTGCACAGGTAAAATCTTTATTTTCACCATCATTCAATGTACCGGGAAACCATGCACAAAGTCGATTACCTTGTACTGTTGAACTATTACCAACACGAATTTCTAAATCATGTAATGGTTGTTGTCCACAACAACTTCTTGTCAGTATACGTATGACACGAATTTCATATGGTTGCAAAAGATCAACTTGCCACCAAGGTGAATTTTCTACTTTAGTTTCAGTACAGAATTTATTTTCATGTAAAACACTAAGATCACCATCATTAGCATTACGTGAATCACCACCTTTTACAGTGCTTGATTGATTTGTTGGTTTTCCATATGCAACATTTACCGCTATTAAAATATCCAAAGATTTTTTTTTATTAGTAAAAAAAGATTGATTTATGCAGCGTGGAAAAGAAACAGAAAGAAAGTATTCCTTACCACAATACGGTAATGTACCGGACCATTTCCGATCGATACAAGTACGTATAATTGTTGTACCAAATAATTCATAACCATCATTACATTTATAGAATGCTTTCGTACCATTTACAATAAATTCTGAACTTAATTGTACATCGGCATATAATGGAACAGATGGATATGGACAATAATGTTGATTATCATTACTGTTGTTGACTATTAAATCTTTCGAAATATCAAAAAACAAAATTTGATTTTATTGAAAAAAAAGGAAAAAAGTAAAGAAAAACAAACAAACAAAAATAATCGATATTATTATGGGCCATACAATGAAGTAAATTGGTGGAATAAAAAAAAGTTTCATAATTTCATTTCTGTCATATTTAAATTTTCACTATCTGTGTGTGTGTATAGCTGACACATATTGGAAATTTGATCTTTTTAAAATTATCATCATCATCAATTTAATAACCGAATGGTTAATAATGAAGTAAAATGCAATCATTTTTTTTCTATACTTGTTTGTTTGCTGTGTTGTTTCACGGTTCGATAATCAAATATGATAATAATGAAAAAACGAAAAAGAGAGAAAATTATACGAATAATAATTTTTCTCGAAATGAACAAGTTTTTTTTCGTTTAATGGTTTGTTTCTGGTAGAACAACCAGCCATTATCATTATCATTATTGAATATTGAATGGAAAGACAAAACTTTATCTGATTTTTATCTGATGATTTTTTTTTCGTTAAATAAAATCGATAAACAACAACAACAACAACGGAAAACTAATTGAAACAAGGTGATGATTGAAAAATTTTTTTGGAAACAAACAAACCTGATGCATGATTGAAAAGAATATTATTATTAATAATGATGATAAATATGATGAAAATGTATGTCGATAATGATGATGATTGCATTCGCATTTTACGTTTTGAAATAGTTATATTCATCAGTAGATTTGTAAATGATAATATACTTTTTGAAACTATAAATGAATGCATTTTGTTGATGATAATGATAGTGTGGAATGGTGATGATAATAATGATGATGATGATGATCTCTTTTCAATTTCTATCTTCAATAAATCTATTTATGATTGATCAAAATTGGCATATTTTTAGCATCGGAAAATGTCTTTTGTTTTTTTCTGGTCGAAAATGACTAGAAAACTTTGATTGAATGATAAAACAAAGATGGTGATGACAAACACCGAAAAAACAAAACGAAAAAACCAACCAAATTAATCAACAAATCAGTAGATCACATAAATGGATCCATGTCGATCCATTTATTTCATTTACAATTAATTTATTAAGGGAAAAAAATGATGATGATGATCAAATAAAGACGAGGGCGAACATTTTGGATCGACACTTGTTGCACACACACACAGAGAGATACACGAACTTATTGGAACGATTTTTTTCCTTTTTTTTCCTCAAAAATTAGAAACACACAGCACACATAGAGAGATACACGTTAAAAAAACTTAAGAAACGAAACAAACAAACAAAAATTACATTTTGCCCAAATCAACAACAACAACACCTTGCACAAATATTCGTTGAATATAGTCAAAAAAAAAGTCGAAAACAACTTGAACTAAGTGAAATAGTTTCCTTCTCTTTTCTGAATTTCTCTCATTTTTCTTTCTTATTTTCTTCGATGACAATAATTTTTTTGCTGTTGTTTTTTTGTAGAGAATTGATGATGGCTTTATTCCACCGCTGCCACCTTCATCACAGGTAGACCGAGAAAAAAATCATACAATCTCCATCCATCCATGCATCCATTTGAACGACACATTTTGTTTTTTGAAGACAAAAAAAAATGACTGACTGACTGAATATTATAATAAATTACTTTGACTGATAAACGAAAGAAAGATTTTCTTGTTTTTCATTTTCTCATTCAAACATTTTTGTTTGACGAGAAAATCACGAAAATAACTGATGACGAACAGCGTCAATGTTTTAGCTTAAAGCTTTGTTAATGGAACAAACAGAAACAGAAATATGAATCTAATTTCTGAAATTTTACACGGATTTTTTTGTATGTATGGTTGGTTAGTTGAATGAGAGAAAAAAAACAAGAAATAAAATTTTTTTGGAGAAAAAAAGAGAGAATTTTTTTCGCTGAAGAAAAAATAAGAGAAATGTAGGCAAATGTAGGATAAAAATTGAAGTGAGAAACAAGGTAACCGAACAATTGGACTGGAATTTTTTTCTTTCCTTCCATCAACACCACCACCACCATTATCATGATGATGATGATGATGATTTGAATGAAGAATTCTTTTGAATCGCATGAAAAAACAAAGCAAAAATGAATGAATTATGAATAAATAGTGATTTTGATCGGTGATTTGATGGCAAAAATGAGAAAAAAGATTTTTGGACAAGTTTTGATGTTGGATATCGTAGTGGTCGCTTGTTGTTGTTGTTGTTCTAAATTGGTATCCTAAAACAACAACAACAAACAAAATGTGTCCACGGATCATCATCATCGACGGGCCAGCCAGCCAGCTGCGATGATGATTTGCCTTTTACATAATATATATTCCTTTCTCAAACACACACACACACTATTTTTCGCTTGAAATTGACAGATCCAGATTATATTTTCTATTCATTTTCACTGTATCAAAAATTAAATGGTCGAAGAAGAAAACAATTAACATTGTTTCTTCTTGATTTCATTTCATTTTATTCGATCATCATTCATTTAGATTGATTAAACAATTCCCATCATCATCAACACTTTTTAAATGGCTAAATTTTTTTCAATCATTCCTTTTATCTCTTGCTCACACTCACTTAAGATCATTTATCATTTAGAAGAAGAAAATTCCCATGAAACAAAATAGAAATAGAAATTATCAATTTTCTAATTTTACCTATTTGGATTTTCGCATTTTTCGCTGTTTGTCATCATCATCATTGATAAAGATTTTTTCAACACACAACATTTTTTTTGTCCATTTTGAATCTATCAAGAGTGGTCAATTGTTGTTGTTGTTGTTGATTTTATTATTAATACATCGAGATTATCTTCTGAATGAATGTGAAATCCGTTTCTTTTTCTTTTCATTCATTCATTTTCCCCTCTATAGCTGTCCGCTCGAACAATCTACCGGGTTCGAGCTATTATCATCATCATCCTGATCATCACCACCATCATCATTATTGTTTAACCATTTAATATTGGCCAATATCCTCATTGATAATGATGATGATGATGATAAAATAGATAGATTTGACTGGCTTACATTATTTTTTTTTGCTTGAATTTCACAATAAAATAACAATAAAAAAATGAAACTTGATTAACTCGTTGATTTGCAATTCATAGCAAAGAAAAACACACGCACTTTTTTTCAAAAAAAAAAAAGATTCGATCTCAAAATGATGACTAAAGGCGAATAATAATAATTATTATGATCATTGTTGGTTGGTCGGTGAATATATATGTGTTTTTATAACTGCCAATCATCATCTTTCTCCACACACACACACATCCACTATACATTCCTACAGTCATGATCCAGGATCCGTGCAATGATCATGATTATAATGGATCATAATGATGATGATCATCAGTAAATATCAGTAAATATCATGAACATTAAATAAATAATAGACCACTTGTTGCATGTTTTTAATCGTTGTTGTTGTTTGTTTGTTTGTTGTATTTTTTTTCTTCTTTTTTTCCCATTTTTACAATGTTTGTTTGTTTGTTTTTCTGACCAAACAATGGAAAAATGAATTGAAACATATATTATTATTTTCTAATTATTGTTACAATTGTTGTAATGATTATAATTAGTATATAATTATAATTAGTACAATGAATTAGTAAATCAAGATTTATCAAGACATTCAATCCACCCACGATATGAATTTCATTTGTTTTGTTGTTTGTTTTTTTCAAAGAAAAAAAAAGGTTTATTCAAAAGGTTTACCGAAAGAGGGTTTATGTATATAAAGACAAGCATTTAAGCAGAAAAAAAATGTGGAAAATTTTTTTTTGAAAATTTAAAAAAATTCAAATTTGATTATCTTGTTTTTCATTTCATCATTCATTCATTTTATTCATGAGATAAAGATGAGAGAATAAAGATTTATGACAATTTTTTTTTGTTTGTTTTGTTTTGTTTGTAAATCGTCAAAACACGATGTGAATACGATTACATCATTCACATCGTAAAAACGGATAATTGGATTATGAAGAAAAACAGAGAGAAGAAAGGATTCGAGTAGAAAAAAATTTGACATTTCTATTATATTATAATAATAATGATGGGCAATATATATTCATTCATGATTTTTCGTTGTTGTTGTTGCTGCTTTTTTTTAAATTCCAGGCTGTCCACTACCACCACCATCTTCATCATCATCTTCATCTTCATCATCATCATCACCGGAACGTTCTTCATTTTCTTTTTCAGCTTGTTCCAACATTTTTGTTAATTGTGCTTCATCCAAATCAGTAACAACTTTAGGCTATTAGAAAATAGAATAAATTAACCCAAAACACACAGATGATATTACAATGAATCATTTTTCAAGGAAAAGGAACAAAAAAAATAACTACTTACCGCAATTGTTATTGTAAATATTCCACCCGAATTTTTTATAGATTCTTCAATTTTTTTCAATGCCGAATCTAATAGTTCAACACCTTTTGCTTTATCCAATGTAGTTGTAGTGACTACATAACGTGGTGGTGCTATCAAATTAATTTTGATTGGCATTTCTTCAATACCGCAAGCAATACCAGCACGAAGTGCATTTTTAACAGCATCAACACCTTCATATGCATAACAACCAACTTCAATTTCGGAACGAACTTTAACCGCTTGTGGCATTAAACGACGTTTAATATGAGTGAGCAATAGATCTTTAACTTTTTCATCTAAACCACATTCATCCAAAAGTGATGGTTGACTATTTGAAACAAAAATGTAGAAAATAATGATTAATGGAACAAAGTAATTTTTTTTCAATTGAAAACTTACTTGACGGCCATTTTAAAAACTTCGAATGATGATCCAGGTTTTTTATCATCAAAATGCCAAGCAGTTTTATCATACAATTCTTCCAATTGTTGTTCATTATAATGCAATATTTCTGCTACATGTCGTAATATACTATGAACCTAAAGGGATCGGATTTTTTTTTAAATAATCAGATTAGAATTTTTCTAAAACAAAAAGAAAAGAAAACTATATTTACAGCTTTGGCATTAGCAAATTTTTCTTCACATCTTATTATATCTTCAGGTGATACACGACGTTTAGAAAGATCAATATAACCTTTATCACGATCAACACGAATAACAACAACACATTCATTACGTCCAACTCGAATCAATTTGTTTATGGAACGTATTCGTCTCCTTGAAAGTTCAGATAATAGAATCATACCTAGAAAAAAGATGATTCCATTTCAAATTAAATTTTTAAAAACATAATTCGAAAACATACCTTCGATGTTGTTATATTCTAACAAATGAACATAGGCTCCCATTTCACCGATCGAAAGAACTTTGACCATAACTACATCTTCAACTTCGGGATATTTTTGCCGATAAAAACGACAAGAAAGTGGCATGATTTAAAATAAAATATGGAAAACAAATTTAATTTGAAACCGAAAAAAAATTTTGCAGAAAAAAAATATGTTTGTGACAATGCCGAATATACCGACACAACGTGTAATACAATTTGTTAAGAAAAATTTTCGAACCAAATCTATACGATGAAAGTTTTTCATGGCATGGTTTTCAAACATATTGTTTTCCCATTATCATTTCGAACACTTGATGCAAATGATAAAACGAGATGAATTTGTCTTCAATGAAAATTCCATTTTATTCATCAAAAAATTTTATTCATCCATTTATCCTAAAACGTTTGGGATTATGTTCGAATCAACTAAATCGAAATATACATTACGAACGAAATATACCGAAAACATTGGATGAATTTAAACAATTTCAATTTAAACCAAATGAACAACCTGAAAATGCTCGATCATTACGTATTGCTATTATTGGTTGTCCTAATGCTGGAAAATCAACATTAATGAATCATTTGATTAATTGGAAAATCAGTTCAGTTTCATCTAAAGTTCATACAACAAGAAAAAATGTTATCGGAATTTATGTTGAAAATAATACACAATTAGAATTTATTGATACACCGGGTTTAGTGAGCAGAAAACATATGATGCGACATAAATTAGAACTTTCATTTATAAATGATTTAAAAATCTCTGCACAATATGCCGATATTATTGCAATAATTGCCGATGTTTCGAATCGACGTGAACGATCCAGATTAAATCCCGGAATTCTTGATATTCTACAACAATATCAAAATGATGAAAATAAAGAATCATTATTGATTTTGAATAAAGTGGATAAAATTCGTGATAAACGAAGTTTGTTGGATATTATTTCCACTTTAACGACTGGAATTGTTGATGGTCAACCTGTTAGTAAATCAAATGTTGATGAAGATATGCTTCGAGCTGAATTAAAACAAGGAAAATTTGATACTTTATTTCAACGAACAGAAAAATATTATAATTATCAAGATAAAAATACCGAAATTCAATCGAACACAGATATTGTTCATAATGGAATTGGATGGCCAAAATTTTCAAGAATATTTATGATTTCTGCTCTTCATGATGATGGTATAGAACAATTAAGAAATTATTTCATTCAAAAAGCTAAAGAAAAATCATGGTTTTATAATGGTAATGTTGTTACCATACAAAATCCAAAACAAATCATAATCGATACTATACGTGAAACTTGTTTAGAATTATTTAATCAAGAAATTCCATATAATTTTCGTTATCAGATTGTTATGTGGGAACAAGATGATATTGGTAATTTATATTTAGTTGTTGATATTCTGTGTCCGGAAAAATTTCTAACACTTTTAATCGGACCAAAAGGTTTAAATATTTCAAATATTGTAAAAAAATCAAGAGAATCATTATCGAATATATTTCATTGTGATATATCATTAAAAATTGCAGCAAAATCATTTCGTTGATAATAATGAAATGAAATTTTTATGTTCAAATAATTTTTTTTATCTTTTATTCAAAAGCATTATTTAGATAATATTTACGAACTTTTCCATCACGACAAGCAGTATAAATAAATTTATCATCATAAACAATTTGATAAATTGGATCACAATCCGATCCAGTTAAATGTAATAATTGATTATGATTATCATAATGAAAATCAACTGATCCATCCTGATGGCTAACAACAAAACCATTGAATGGTCTACGTACTGATATCATTGAAAGTACTGGTGATCGTGATATT